GAAGAATACGACCTTCGCTTCTTAATCCTGCCATCACAACAACTTAGGGTTGGAAGTAAATGGTCACCAAAGTCACCAGCCAGAGCATCTGTCACATCATTTTCTTAAAATCAAATGCAAGTGTGATAAGCAAATCCAACAATATTAAGATTCAGGTGTGAGATAAGGTATTGCCTTTACTGGCCTAAAACAGTCGCTTGACTTTTATTAGGGCTAATATTTAACATCTTAGAATTTTGGTAATTTTTAACCACATGACCACTTTTCTCAAAACATCTTCCTTTATTATTCTAAATCCTAAATTAGAATACCACTTTTGCATACTAGGCGAGCAGTGGGAAGGTCAGGGAAGATTTATGAAGAAGCAGAAATGACAATCAGCTAAGGCACAAAAGCTCCTAGCATGCCCAGGTCCTGAGGGAAGTGGTCACCTTGGTTTTACTGGGTCCTTTCCAGCTATTCCCAGAGAAGGCTTCTTCAAGGCTCACAAGGGTACAGAGCAAGAGTGCCACAGTAAGGCAACAAACCCAACAAACCCCCAGAGTTGCTGGGGACATGCCACTGTTCAAGGGGGTATTTTTATGTCTAACTCCTCCTTTCCCACTACAGCCAGTGTAACATTCTCTTCTGTGGTTATTTTGAAAATATCTGCCAAAATACGTAGAAGAACTATTTCAGAGTTAATTAATTTTGGTTCAAAAGCTTTCCGACTGTTAGCACCAAGACTTTTGTCATTCCTGAGCCTCTGAATTGACAATTCCAATAAAACAACCATTTTTTACAGCCTTGTATTACTAAGTATAGCCTTCTGAATCTACCCGTACTTAAATAAACCAAAACACACAGTTCTTTGCTATTTAACTATGCTTTTCAACTACTGTGCACACAAAGTGCTTGCTGTGTATTGCCTGTACTGATCTCAGTGGAAGCTGAGGAACCGAATCACTCACTTGGTCCTCACCATTCCAGTGAGCAAGTTGCAGTTTTTAAAAATCACAACCTACTCTGCATTACACCTCCACAGGCTCCTCAACAGCTCTGGCTTCAAAGTACGCCATGAAAAGGGCAACTCTTTCATTAAGGAAAGCAAGCAGTACCAGATCCTTATAAGGATCCTAAACGGTTTCAGGGATGGGGGGGGGAAAGGAGAGGGGGGTAAAAACAAACCAAAAAATAATAAAAAAAAAAAAAGAAAAGCTTCCAAATGTGGTATAGATTTGCAAATTAAAAATACTAGATGCTTCTTTACTGACTTTGTTCATTATGCTCCTGTTAAACCAGATTAGGACAAACTGTATTCTCTGCAGTTTCAAGATTACATAAACAGGTTCTGCAGATTATAGGTAGCATTTTTAACTAAAGCAGAACCCGGCATTGGCACATTATGGCACCTGGCAGTTATGATTTTATTGACCAGACTCATATGACCACTTAGGCAAACTGGCCACTCAAAAATCTATGGGCCCAGATGGGATGCACCCAAGAGTGCTGAGGGAACTGGCCGAGGTTATTGCTCAGACTCTCTCCATCATCTTTGAGAGGTCCTGGAGAGCAGGGGAGGTGCCCGAGCACTGGAAGAAAGCCAACGTCACTCCAGTCTTCAAAAAGGGCAAGAGGGAGGAGCCAGGCAATTACAGGCCGGTCAGCCTCACCTCTGTCCCTGGAAAGGTGATGGAGCGGTTCATCCTAGAGAGAATCTCCAGGCATATGGAGGAGAAGAAGCTGCTGAGGAGCAGTCAGCATGGATTCACCAAGGGGAAGTCATGTCTGACAAACCTCATAGCCTTCTATGATGGGGTGAGAGGCTGGCTGGACGAGGGGAGAGCCATGGATGTTGTCTACCTTGACTTCAGCAAGGCTTTTGACACTGTCTCCCATAACATCCTCATACGGAAGCTCCGGGACAGTGGGCTAGACGAGTGCACGGTGCGGTGGATTGAGGACTGGCTGGATGGCAGAGCTCAGAGGGTGGTGATAAATGGGGCCAAGTCCAGTTGGAGGCCTGTGGCCAGTGGTGTCCCCCAGGGGTCAGTACTGGGCCCAGTGCTGTTCAACTTGTTTATCAATGACCTGGACGAGGGCACGGAATGCACCCTAAGCAAGTTTGCAGATGACACCAAGCTGGGTGGAGTGGCCGACACTCCGGAGGGCTGTGCTGCCATCCAGAGGGACCTGGACAGGCTGGAGAGTTGGGCAGAGAGGAACCTCATGAGGTTCAATAAGGACAAGTGCAGGGTCCTGCACCTGGGGAGGAATAACCCCAGGCACCAGTACAGATTAGGGGTCAACCTGCTGGAAAGCACCTCCACGGAGAGGGACCTGGGAGTCCTGGTTGACACTAAGTTAACCATGAGTGAGCAGTGTGCCCTCGTGGCCAAGAAGGCCACTGGGATCCTGGCCTGCATCAGGAGGAGCGTTGCCAGCAGGTCAAGGGAGGGGATTCTGCCCCTCTCCTCAGCTCTGGTGAGGCCGCACCTGGAGTACGTGTGCAGTTCTGGGCACCCCAGTATAGGAGGGACGTGGAGCTTCTGGAGAGGGTCCAGAGAAGGGCAACCASGATGATTAAGGGAATGGAACATTTCTCGTACGAAGAGAGGCTCAGTGAGCTGGGCCTGTTTTCTCTGGAGAAGAGAAGGCTCAGAGGGGATATGATTAATATGTATAAGTTTAGGAATGGAGAATGCAGGGAGGAAGGGGACAGGCTGTTCTCACTGGTGGCCAGCGATAGGACGAGGGGTAATGGCCACAAGCTGAAGCACAAGAAGTTCCGTCTCCAGGTGAGGAGGAACTTCTTTACTGTTAGGGTGACAGAGCAGTGGAACAGGCTGCCCAGGGAGGCTGTGCAGTCTCCTACTCTGGAGGTCTTCCAAACTCACCTGGATGCTGCCCTGTGCCACATGCTCTAGGTGTGCCTGCTTGAGCAGGAAGGTTGGACTAGATGATCTCTAGAGGTCCCTTCCAACCTTAAATATTCTGTGATTCTGTGATATTGCTCATAATAGATTCACTTATTTCTCTTCTACATTGTGAAATTTTATTCTAGAAGTAACTAGCATTTTATCTGGAGATAAAATTTTCTTAATCTTACATACTGTACTCATGCTTTAGTTTATAGATAGTATCACCATTAGACAAACAATCCAAACCATAAAAATGGCTTTGCCATTTATAAATGATTGCTATTAAAAATAAATAAAATGAGGAACACAAACTTAGTTAAGTAATTTTAGTTTATATTTAATCACACTGTTGCTTTAAGCTACAACTTCCATCAGAAGAGTCTTAACTAATTCCCACTCAATGAAATATTAACGACGACATTTCCCTGTATGTTCCCAGATGGGAATCTGTCTTTTCAGGGTCTTTGCAGGTGTCACTCAGGGCAATTCCAGAAATTACTTTAAGAACAACCACTTTCTGGCTCGCCGAGAGCACACTGTAGCCTTTAACACCTGCAGGAGGACTCTTCAAGCCTTTGCACCAACATCTAAAATATAACCTTCTTAAAACTACGTCCAGACCTGCCACATACAACACTCTCAGTATAGAGTCTTTAGCTCCTTTTAGGATCTAAAATTAAGATATGCATAACTCACAGTAACGTCCAGTTAAAAAATACAATTCTTATCTTAAATCACAAGATATGGCTCAAGATGGCAAGTTTTATGGCTGCAGTCACATGACAGCAATTAACATCTACTTAAGCCACTGAAAACTCAAACCACACTGAGTCTGAGTCTCATGGACTAAAGAACGAACTATAAAATAATCTTGAAATCACGAGGTCAAATCCTGAAGGCCAACACCACAAAAACCTCAAGCTCTGGATGAAGAAGAAAAGCTGATGACAAACTTCAGAGAGAAACCATCTGCAAGCAGATGCTAGACAACAACTTGTTACCTTTTGACGTGAGTAATGTGAGGTTAATATGGTACTAAAGTATTCTATATAAAGGGAACACAATGCAACATAACACAGCAATTATCCTCTCACTTCAGGATCATAACAGACAGCTGAAGATAGTTTAGTCTCACAAGATACTTACTATAAAGTGTTTTATTATTAGAGCTATATGTTCCAAGAACAAAAGATCTAGATATTTGATATTAGAAAAAGGTCAATGTAATGAAATGTTAGTGTCACTGTTTTCACATATCATAAAATAGCATAATCATGTCTTTTGATGATCCTTCTCCCCTTTGCAAGACTTCAGCCTCAGCTGTTGTCCATAACAAACAGTCCTTACTTTATTTTGTTCTCTTCAAGCACTTTCCCCCCTCTTTGCTTCCTTTTTTTGCCATTGAAATACATCGCCCTCCACTAAATTCAAGTTGTTGCAGTTTCCCCTTGTTCAGGGAGGCTTTTTGCTGCAGCCTTCACCACGTTTTACACCTGAAAAAGTCAAGTTGAGAGTTAAGACCCTAAGGACAGAGGAGAACCAGTAACATCCAGGAATTTCCAACACCAACCCGGACATGTTGAGCCCTCCAACTCCACCACCAGCTCCTGCCTCAAAGTCTGTTCCCCTGCTTAACAAGTCCCCACTAAGGCTTAGCAAAGTGGGAGTAACTTGATCTAGCTGTAAGAGCTTGCAAGTTTCCCAGGGTACTGAAGAAGTTTTTAAAGGGTTAAAGTGTAACTGGCTTGTGTTAGCCTTCCAGAGAAAGGGCAAGCAGCACCCAGGCCTCAGAGGCACTGGGTTCACAAGCTCCTGCTCCGGGACACTGTGACACAGCCCCACAGAGGAAAAGTCACCAGACCTACCCAAACAAGGTCAGGAAGGCAAACACGGCTTCACCTCGTCTCACCCCTGGAAACACCTCAGTGCAACAAGTCAGCTCAGGACAATTCAGTGAATGAGTCCATCGGTAACAGGTGGATAAAGAGGGTCCCAGCACGGGAAAGGAGATGCAGTACCCCCTCAAGAGCGCCGCTCCCTGCCACAGCCTTACAGGGAGAGCAGGCCTCGGCCACATACACAGGTGCCTCAGTGACTCACCAGCTGGCAGCACCTCAGCCCTGACGCAGACGAGCTCGCCTTGCCGCACTTACAGCTTAACTTGCGTTACAGACGCAGCTCACAGCGCTCCCGGGCCCGGCCGGCCCAAGCGCAGGGCGGCGGCGCCCTCGGGCTTCGAGCTGCGCCACCAACATGGCGCCGCCCCACGCGCCGGGCCCAGCTGCGGCCATGGCGGCGCGTGCGCGCGCGAGGCGGCAGCGGAGCAGGAGGAGCCGCGGGCGGGCACGATGGCGGAGGCGGCGCCGCGGGCGGCCCTGCCGCTCCCTCCGCCTCCCGGCGCCGCGCGGCCCGGCCCAGGTGCGCGCGGCGGCGCAGGTGCTTAAATAGCGGCGGCGGCGGCGGCGCGCCGCGCGCCTCGGGCAGGTAAGGGGTGTCCGCGCGGCCCTGGGGGAGGCGGGTTGGGCGCGGCCGGCAGGGCAGGCACCTGCCCGCCCTTGCTGCAGCTCTAGCCGCCCTGCTCGGCGGCGGGGCGGGCGCCGTGCCGTGGCCGTGATGGCCGGGCCGGGCCGGGCTGGGCTGGGCTGGGCCGGGCCGCCTCGCTGCGCGGAGCCGCGCGCACGGCGGGCCGCAGCCGCGGGGCGAGCCTGAGGACGTGCGGGGATCGGCCGCGGGGCAGGGGGCTGCTCGGGAGCCCGGCCCGCCGCGGGGCTGCCCTCACGATGTGTCTGAGCGTGCCGAGCAGCCGCGGCAGAGGAGGCTGCGGCTGCTGTTGCGCGTGCCGCTTATGTAGGACACGGGTGCCCTGGAGGGAGAGAAGCCTCTCGCCGCTGCCAGCGGGCCCGGCTGGCCTCCCTCCGCCTGCGGCCGGCCCTGTGTGCCGCTGTCCCGCGTGCGGGTGGGTCAGTACGTGCCCCGCTGCACGCAGTGCTGGGCTGCCCTCCCCGTGCAGGGCTCCGTGTCCCTGGGGCGGGCTCCCCCGCTGGATGCACCTGCCCTCATGCAGTCCCTGCAGCGCTTGGAAGCAGCACGCCTGGTGTGCTGCAGCGTAAGGAGGGGGCCCCCGGGGAAAGGCGCTTTTCCCAAATGCCATCCTGCTTAACTGCTTGCCCAGGGGCTGGCTGTGCTCAGGGCCCGAGCTCAGCTGCACAAACAGTAGATGGGAAGGCTCTGAGGAACATCCAGGCCTCTGTTGTCCTCATGGTCACAATTGTGTCCTCTCAAAGATCTCCAAGTCTTCTTGCCTGCGTCTTTTGCTACTCCTGTGGGACAGGCTCCTAGAAGCTGCCAGAAGTTGCTCTGTCTGGTGCTACCTGTTGGAAGAGGGAGAAAAGACATCTCTGGTTTTAACCATGTGCATGGGCCTCACCTCTATCTACCTTTGCCCCAGCAAGTCAGTACTAGTGTGTGCTTCACCAGCGTCTCCGTGTAGCCTGTCACCCTCCTGGGCGCTCGTGTCCAGCACTGCATCATGGCCACCCACCAGCGATGGAGCGAGGAGGATTGAGGAGATCGAGTGAGGAAGGGCTATGGACCAGCCATTTTTCTCTTGTGGTCTGCAGGGCTAGTAGCTGGCAGCACCTTGAGGGAGTGTAGCTGTGTGCTTGGCAGAGCTCCTTGATGCTTGGCCATGTGGTGGTGAGAAGGACCCCTGGTGCAGTTGTCTGGAGACTGGCAGGATCCATCCCCCTTCCTGGAACTTCCACTCCAGCTGCTTCCTTGTGCTTTTCCTGATGTTCATTCCTGTTCCACCTGCAACTGTTATAAATATCAGTGTAGTGTTACCCTGTTATGCTGAGCCAATATCATCATTTTGTCAGCCCATTCAAACCGTGTTGTCTGACACAGCCACTGGCTCCTTAGGAATCTTTGTGCCAAGCTGCTAGATTTTGAAAGTCTTCCCTGTGGGATATCAGAGTTTCATACTGCATGTGATGAATGACAGGCAGTAATTAGAGGCTGAATACACAAGATGACAAATTGAATATGTTTGGCACCTCAAAATGTCTCAGTGCTTGTATTCTTAGTAATTTTATGTCAAGCTAGCTGGCATTTCTCCCATGTCTTTCATTAAGTGATTTAAAAACATCTTGGAGGAAGGGAGGTGTGTGGTGAAGGAAATAGCAAACTCCACTTTGTTTTTAATTTGCCCAGCTGGGCTTGCGCAAAGATGCGCTCGCTGGCTATCGAGAGTGTGATCCAGAGGGAAAACTGTGATACACTAACAAGCAGTAACTACTCTGAATGAAGAGGATTTCTCCCTAGATGGAGATTGTCCTGTCGCCGTTCAGGTCTGAACTTGGAAGAAAACATTGCAGAATGGTGGCAGCAGCAGCTTCCCAATAGTAGTTAAAAATCGTAAGGGGGACATTTTAATAGAAAGCCACGGGAAAGAATGGCTTGTGGCTTCTAATGGGGTTGTCATTATGGACTAAAGCAGATTGTGTGGGGCTTTTTTGCTTTTCAAATGACAACAGAGATTAGACCTTTTGTTAGCAGTGATCTGGGTGCTTTTTTTGCATGCAAGAATGGGGCCTCATCAGGGAAATGTAAAATGGAAGGACAGAAGTGTTTTACTACTTCCAGTACTTTTTTTTTTCCTTCCTTTTAATCCTCAATTCCTGAATTCATATGACTGCATGAGGATCTCAAATTTCATGTGGGTAAAGGAGAGTAAATTTATAGCCCTGCTGGTTGCAGTAGAAATCTTGGCAAATATGATCTCTGAAGGCTCAAACTAGTAAGCCAAGTTCCAGTTTCAGAATTAAAAATATATTTTTAAATTCCTGGAGTTGCCTGTAGTGTGAAAGTTAAACTGTTATGCACAAAAAAAACCCAACAAACTAGGCTGTTATTTCCTATTCTACCTACCTGTCATGGGCCAGAATTAGAGAAGCACAGAGCACTGTGTGATGCCAGTTAAGCTCCTAAGCAGGCTTCCCCTGCAAACTCTGTTTCCATGTCCCTATCCCTCATGCTTAACTGTCTCCACTCTGCTGAACTCTGTCCTTGCAGCTCCTGACCTGGAATTTCCATGCCTGCTCTCAAGCTAAATATGGAGGGAATATTCTTATGTGTGCATGTGGAGGCAGTTGATCTAGCAGAACTATTTCAAACATATAGGTAATACAGGGCTTACTGCTCTTGCAGTATTTTTTTTTCTTGAAACTCAAGAAATAAAAGTTAATCTTTCCTTGGGTTTACTATTAAATTTTGGTGGTGGCATAAATGGAATTAGTCCTCCTTTGGACTTTGCAGCATAAAATTTGTCTCTTTCATCTTCAAAGCCACAACAGGCTGTTCTCAATGTTCTTTTTGTGGCTTGAAAGAATTAAGAAAATATGCCCATGCTTCATTTCTAATGTGTGTTTTAACTTAATCTCATAACAAGAAGACTAGTGGAAGAGAAGCAGGCGCTGTGTTGGAGCAATGAAAACAAATCTCTGGCTTTTGGGGCTTTTTTGAAGGGCAGAAACATTGAATACTCTTTCACTTCACATTGTTTCCTTTTGTCCTAATTAACTTGTACTTATTTCCATGTTTTCTTCCCTAGAGGGAATTGCAAGGAAAAGGATTCAGATTTCCCTCTAATTATAGTGTGTTGCTGTTAGAAGGGTTAATGTGCCTCAGCTGAAAGACATCTTAGACAGCTATGTCTGAAAATGCAATGTTTGTATTGAGGCTCTTTACTTGGTTCCATGGTGGTAGCTCAGTGCCTTTGAACCACATTAGATCAGTTATGAAAATGTTGAGAACTTTCTAGACATTGGGGCGTGTATGGAGTACAGCTGATAAAATTGCTCCTGATAACTTGGGAAAGAGCAGTAGAATAAAGGAAGGAGAGGTGACCAACATAACGCATTTTGGGTTCAGAAATACAGCCATTAAACTTTCAGCTTGAAGTTGCCTGAGTTAGGAGCAGGGCAGTAGAAGCCAGTGAAGAAGAGGCTGAAGCCTGGCCTCCCTTTGGGTTTCTGGTCAGCTTCTTGGAGAGGTGTCTCCTTGGTTGTCAGCCACTGCAGTATGGGGTACAGGTAACCAGCCGATCCCTAAGCCACAGAAGTACCAGCTTCCTCCTAGGCAGCAGCAGAAATGACTTTGCTTTCTTTGCATGCGCACTTCCCTGACTTTCACTCAGGCTTTCCCTGCCCTTGTCCACGTCCAGCAGGCTTCTCATGCATGTTACCCTGCATACTCAGGTTTTAACCTTAGCACTGGTTTGTTTTCTTTTGTCTTGCTTTTGAATCTAGACTCTTATGGGCTTAGAAGTCTTCTGGGAACTGCTATATTACTATCTAAAGTTTTCTTTAGGTAGCCCATACAAAGGATTTGGGAGTAGGGAAAGTCAAAAGGAAGTGTGGTAGCAATATGCTTGCCAGCTGTGATTACAAAACAGTGAGACTTGAAGTGTGCAATCTTTATTTAGCATGGCTTTCTTTTTTTATCTTTTCAGAACAGGACCAAAAATCTTCTATGTCCTTGCTCTTGTGGTTATATAGGACAGAAATCTATTTAGGGAGAGAGGCTGAAAAGGCTCTCGCCTGCTGAAGGAGAAGCGAGACTTGCATGCTTTGAAAGGTATGTATTAGATTTGTTTGGTTAGAGTCCAGTAGCAATCAGTATTCATTTGGACTAAGGTTCTTTCAGCAGTATATTATTTTCCAACTCTGCTTCAGTGACAACTGTCACTTCCTGCAAATTCACGATACAACCTTCTTCTCTTCCAGTGTTTTTGTTTTTCCCCCTCAAGAGGAAAGCTAGTCTCCTTGCACAGATTCAATGTTTTAAAATAATGTCCATTTGACTGTAAGACTGTATATATACAAAAACAATTTAGGTGCCCAACAGTATTTGTGAGCACTGTAGTTGTTTTCAGTCTAACCATAAGGCAAAAGATGTCCCTTCCTCTGTAGTCAATGACAGCAAACTCAACCAGGCACTTTATTCCATAACGGGGATATTGCCAAACAGTAAATAGGTCAAAAGATCCAGCTGAAATGGGCTGCATAGTCTATTCACAAGAGTGAATGGTATGAAGTAGCTAGCACCACTGTTGACTCCTTTTGCTTTGTGTGTTCCCAGATGTACTCCAGTTTTCTGTGACTGAATGTTATCGAGGAAAAAACCTCATCTACTTGAGGAGATTCTCTT